GCCCCAGGAATATTTTACACTTCTCTTCATTGTCTTGACCTCTCCTTCCAGGCTAATATCTGAGCCTCACCTTTGCATACTCAAGAGGCTCATTAAAGCGTTTTCTCAAACAAAAGCACAGTTTTCTCCCAAAGATGAATTCTGCTGCCACCATTAGAATGCAGAAACAGCTGCAGGCATCTTTGAAAACTGCAACGTTTTCATTCCTCCCATGATATTTAAATATTGCAAAAAGGGCCAAGAATGAAGACCCTTAGATTTATCTAGTGTCTTACTGAACAAATATTTATTGAGGGAGAATGTCCACCTCTAGTAATAGAGGGTTAATTCTCTTGCTAAAGACAGTGAGAAAAGCTGGACATATTAAAATTAGTCTGTTGTATCTGAGAGCTAAGGTTCTGTAGCTCTTGCTCAGATTCTGCAGCTCATCCCCAAGGCCCAGAAAATCTCAGCTCCTGCAGCTTGGTTAAGATGGTCCTGGATTCCTAGTACCCCTCTCTCTTGCACCCCTCCTCCCTTAGCTCTCTGGACCTGGCCAAAGGAAGCACAAATCTTCTTAGTGGAAGATTTCATCACCCAAGACCTCGAGTTATGCCGACAGACATTTTTTTTTTCTAATGCAACATTCGACATCAAATCAAAATAAACCAGGCGTAAGAGTCAACTTGATAATTTGACTGACATCCATCAGAAAAGACAGAAAATAGAAACACAGAGGCTCAGATATGAAAATGATCAGACACAGGTTTAAAATAGTTACTGGGTAACTATTTTACATGTCAGGCACCTGTGCTAGGCATTGAGGATGAAATAGTAAACAAAACATAACTCCTGCCTTTATAGTGCTTTATAGTCTCCTGGGGGAGACAGACATTCATCAAACAAATTACCCTGTGGTAGATTGACTGCAAAAATGGGCCTAGTTCCGAATGTGAAGTGGTAAGTCTGTTGTGCAAAGCAGTAGGGAGTTTCCTAAAAAAACTAAAAATAGAAACACCGTATGACCCAACAATTCCGGGTATATGGTCAAAAAAATGGAGAGCAAGGTGTCAGAGAGATATTCGTACACCTGTTGCTGAACTCAGGTTCTGCTGCTTACTGCTCCGAAATCAATACCCGAGAGGTAGTTGTTGGTACAAAGGAAAATTGCTTTTAATCAGAATGTCCCGAATCTGGGGAGGAGGTGAACTCATATCCCGAGACCAACTCCCAAGATTCTGCTCAGCCATGAAAGTTTTTAAAGGGAAAAAGGGAAGTAATCTCAGTTAGTCACTGAGATGGGGTCAGAGTCGTTGCCATCCCCCTGCTGCGTGTAGGCTTGTAATCTTTCCTTAAATGTTATTTTGTTCACACAGTTTGTTGGCAAGATTAAGAAGAGAAAGCCAGGAAGAGATCTGGTCATCTGTTACTTATTCTTCATCTCTACTTCTTTGATCTATGGAAAGAACCAACAGGTCAGGCAAGGTATTGTGTCATCATGTTGCGGAAAAATGTGTTACAGCTCAGTGTTACAGCTCAGTTGTGACAGCAACCTGGAACTGGGCAGAGACCAAGCAGCACTTGGAGAGTTGGAGAACTCAGGTTTAATACGCCAGCGGGCCCAGACGAGTTAACACTTCAAGCTCTGGACCCCATCTGTAGGTTTACACAGGCCTTTTATAGGCTGCCAATTTTACACTTGGCAACATCATACGCAAATAAAGTACAACAGAAGTTGACCAGGAACAAGCTTTGTAGAAATAGACCAATCAGAAGTGAGAGTAATAACCAATCAGAAGTGAGAGT